TGCTCGTATTTAATACTTTACATGTAAATAACATGCAATTAAGAATTGAGAGTAAATATATCAGTAAACTTTAAAAACTTCAAAATAGCACATGTAAAATAAATACAATGATCTGCTTTTATTCAATTAGGTTTTAGTAAATTTAAAGTTGTACCAAATCGATTATTTATTTCAGTCAAAGGTAAATCTAAATGAACCCTGAGCCTAATTGTCAATCCTTTGCACCTTATGAATAGTATATAACAAATGACTTAAGCTGTTTTTTCAGCTATTATGAAAAACACACACACAAAATAATACACAAACCCCCGCACAAAAGACAACACAACACACACAAAATAATACACAAACCCCTGCACAAAACACAACACAACACACACAAAAATGAAAAACAAAAATGAATGCAAAAAATGAATGAATGCAAAGCACAGTTTTATATTTTCGCGATTCCGCTCATAAGCATGCTAAACTATTTTTCTCATTATCATAAAAAAAAGCGTTCTGTGAAATCGCTCACTTTTATCCAATGAAATCCGCCAACAATAAGGTATTCAAGCTCCAATTCAATGGCTTTTGTTACTTTTGAACAAAACCTTACTTAAAGGTTTGTCTTTCAAAAAGGTTGTCAAATAAAATGGCGAAAAGAAATTATCGCAAGGAAATCATGTGACAGAAAGGAGCCATGAGTTTTGCTAATTGATGAGAAGTAACTGATTTATACTGTAAGATAGTCTGTAGTAAAAAAATGTTCCTTTTTATTCTCCATTTTCACGAAAGATGAACCCGATAATTGAATGTGAAACATCGTAACCATAGTCCCTTTCGGTCATGCAATCTATGTTCGACAATCGACGCTAAGTTGTCCCTGATCCGCCCCCCCCCACCCCCCTCCCCTTCCGTTTTCCCCCTTTTCCCCTCCCCTAGAGCCGCTACGCAGGCTAGTCCCTGACTGAATAAGTACACATACACTTGGTCAAGTTCATGCTCCAAGTCCTCATATAAGGTATGTAAACGTTTCARTGATTGATCAGGTTTTGTTCCGGTGAAGTTGCTCTGCAGGGATCGAGATTGATAGGATCCTTTCTATAAGAATTCAGGCATTCTTGTTAATTTTCACCGCAGTGACTCACAGCAACTCAATCACAAAATAGAGCTACACATGAAGCTCTGGCCACTGACAATATTGGCTTTGTATCACTTCTTCAGATCTTATAGTGGCAGCTTATTTGACATACTTGGTATATATTTAGATGCTTAGAAAGTATAGACATCTAGAACACTTTGCAAAAGCTATATTAGAATGATGGCAGCATAACTCGGAGATTGATACAGAACGATACATGTAGGATGAATCAAATTATAATTACTTTAACAATTAGAATTTTCAGTAAACGATTTATGAAATTTTTTCGTTAAAATCCCATTAACTTCGGCTGTGTTGATAAGAACGGCGAGTGACGGCGAAACAAATCCCAGTCTTAGCCATGATTGTATGAAGTTTGCCGTCGTGGTCGACTGGTTAAAACATAGGCGTACGGATCAAGAGGTCAAGGTTCGAATCCTAAGGGATGTCATATATTTTTGTTCTTTTTTTTTCGTTCTTTATTATTATTATTTATTATTTTTTATTATTTTTTTACAGCAATTCTTTAAAGAATGCTTACTCCGTAACGGTGAATTAAACAACTGAAAGTTGGTTCAATTGAATCCCCGACCAACTATACGGCACCGTTGCTTTCATTGTTTGCCAGTTTCCGTAGCGGCTCAAAATAGTATTATCGATGTCTAACCACACAATGAACTATATATCAAATATTAAATTGTAATAGTACAGTAGCGAGCGAATATAGTTTTTGAATTGTAGACGAACGTGGATAAATAAAACACACGTAAAATGATTTTCTAGACGAATTTAATGTCGGATCGGCGAGTCTTCCTCATGCTTCCTTTGTGACTGAACAATACAACGAATCACATTAGATTTACTTTACAAATATAATTTTAAGTAAACGATATTTGAATGCAGATTTTTTCGTTAAAATCTTATAGTTTTAATTTCGAATTCTAGACAAGCACGGGCGAGCGCCCACCAGTTAAAAGACAAGTCTAGCCGAAATTGTGTAACATTAGCACCCGTGGCCTAATCGGTAGTGCCTTTGATTTCCAATCCAGCGGGCCCGGGTTCAGATCCCAGATGACCTAGGCTCAGTCTCCAGCCGTCGGGATTTCGTGCGCCCGCGATACTCTCTCCCCTGACGGCTGGRMRCATGGGGTTCGAAACGTGTCGCGCATGTCCGTGACGTTTTTGTGTAATTAGCATATTATGACGTAACGGAAGTGAATTTTTCAGTGAACAGAAGTGTTGAATATCTGACAACAGCCGTATTAAAAGGTTTTGCTACAAGGCGGGAAATTATGTGAAATGAAAACTTCGCGAAGTGCGATATAATGTAATAGTTAGCGCTTTAAAAAAGAGAAAGGAATGGAAATTACCCCAAGTACAACATGTGTAGGGTTTAATAATCCAAATGGATAGATTATCTGCCTGCAGAAAGACGAGCAAAATACACTAGTGGCGCTGTTTGAAAAATAAGAGATTTGCCCGAGCCAGTAGGGAGAATAACAAGGACATCTTTTCCAAGAACAATCTCTTTAAGAGCCTTTTGCTGTATTTCTCTAAATTCGTCAAGCTAAACGACTTCAGAGCGTTCAAACAAGTATTTTCAAAGAGAATCTCAAACGACGAATTGTCCGTCATTTGGTAACACTGCGACCACGGCTGCCTGCTAATTTATTAATGATATGCCCCTGAAAATATCGGGGGCMACTCGCTGATTGGTCAAGACTGACAATAGCGAACCCCATGCGCCCAGCCGTCAGGGGAGAGAGTATCGGGGGCGCACGAAATCCCGACGGCTGGAGACTGAGTCTACAGATGACCCATTTCTTTGATTTCTTTATTTGCCAAAAAAAATCATTTCAATCAGATATAGCACAGGGAAACCAGTAAAGAAAAATTAGATATGATAAATAATAATCACAGGCAGCCCAAGCTAAGCATTTAACTTGCAGATTATAGCGATATCTATAATGCATGTAAATACGAAATTTTTGAAAGAAAAAATAAGTAAAAGACATTTGTCTTACCTTATAATGTGGTCTTAGTGATGAATTTAGGCGTAATTTGCCGTTTTTCTTTGATATCTCCCCTCCTTTACTTATATCACTGAAAGGCAGGACAGACCGGCTCGAAAAAATTCAATGGTCAGATCACTTTTTCAGCAAAAATTGCATCTTTTTCGTCCAAATTGAACCGAAAATCCTCGCCATAGCCACCACCAACCGTTTTTCCAACTCCTGTGTAAATCTCAATGTCAAAGAAAAACGTTCAACGGAGATTAAGAGTGATTTAGATCGATTTTCGGTCTCTTTCGGTGAATCCCGCAAGCCGTTGTCCCCTACTCCACCGCCAAACGTAGCCAGAACCTCGGTTTAGCGAGGACATTTTAATACGCACCACTTGATGGTTCGTATCCAGTGGTGCGTATTAAAATGTCCTCGCCAAACCGAGGTTCTGGCTACGTTTGGCGGTGGAGTAGGGGACAACGGCTTGCGAGATTCACCGAAAGAGACCGAAAATCGATCTAAATCACTCTTAATCTCCGTTGAATGTTTTTCTTTGACATTGAGATTTACACAAGAGTTTGAAAAACGGTCGGTGGTGACTATGGCAAGGATTTTCGGTTCAATTTGGACGAAAAAGATGCAATTTTTGCTGAAAAAGTGATCTGCCCATTGAATTAAAAACGGCAAATTACGCCTAAATTCATAACTAAGACCACACCATAAGGTAAGACAAATGTTTTTTACTTATTTTTTCTTTCAAAAATTTCGTATTTACATGCATTATAGATATCGCTATAATCTGCTAGTTAAATGCTTAGCTTGGGCTGCCTGTGTAATAATTAAGTAGAATACATTAATATGATTAAATRAATAACTGCTGACAAAGACATCGCAGGCTCAAGTATGTAAAAGGCAGTGGAAATTGACAAAACAGCAAGAATTTTCAGGAAAGGAGGAGAAATATAAGCGAAAAAAGAGAACTAGTTAAATACGGGACTCATCCCAAATTCTTCGTTTTCATGTCACAGCGGCCATCTTGGAGGACTTTAACAAAGGATTTCTCATTAGCATCTATTGTTCATTCCTCCAACATGGCCGCCGGTCTTTTATCTTTTGAATATCATGGGAATGGTTGAAAAAGATCAATTAAAAGCATTGAAAGTGGACTGTCTAACTGAATACTTACGAGAGAAGGGTTTTTGCACCAGCGAATTCATGCATAAAAAGCTAGTCATTTAGTATTGTATTTTGATCTATTTTTTATACAGAAATAAAATCATTGTGTGACATTTGTTAGGTTTTGTCAACATGTGTGGTATTTGGGCTATCTTTGGGTTTCCAGACTATTTTAAACATGGTTCTCACGTGATGAAAATCTCAGGCCGTGGACCAGATTGTTTTCGTATGGAAACCGTCCCACGCTTCAAGAACTGTTGCCTTGCATTTCACCGGTTAGCTATCGTTGGCGATAATTCTGCCATGCAACCATTGAACGTCAAGAGCCTGCCTCATTTGTATCTTATTTACAATGGTGAGATCTACAATCACATAGCTTTAGAAGAGAAGTACAACTTCAATGTCATGACCCAGTGTGATGGNTAAAACATCCGCAAAACTAAAATATTTAAAAATTGAACCTCGTTGACCTGCTTTTAAGTCTTATTTAAAAATTATCTAGAAATCCGGTAATAAGTACAGTTTTGACGGTAGCTATATKATAACGAGTCTGGTAAAAAGGATAGATTGTTGTGGTGGGTGGATGCTGGAAAAGATGACGAAAAGCCTTACAAAATCCAGCGGCGAGAGCTTTGGCCTTTTGGGGTGTAATCACAGCCTTCCCTGAGTACTTTGTGTACAATTGTTATAATTTAAACTTGTTTTTACCGATTAACCAAGGTACATTCCCTCGGGAGGGACAGACGAAAGAAATACAGCAATCTACACCATCAAATGACATTCATTTTTTACTCAGGTCATTTTTGCACTGAACCAGTCACTTCGCTTCCAAGAACGACTTCGCAGAGGACAGGCCCACCTGACCTACTCGACGGACGATTTAATCGACCATTATAACTGCGGTGATCTTAAAACAGTTTTATTCAGCACACAATCGACACAGATATCACCACTAAGTAGCAACTCCACACGTGACCACAACGACCAAAGAAAAGCTAAAGCCATTGACAAATACTTCAAGAGCGAGCTTATTTATCAACGGAATATTCGCATGGCTCGAAGGGTGGTCGGATTACTGAGGAATCATCCTGAGAAAGACTTCTTTTTTGCATTTGGCGCAGGTATAAGCAATAAATTTGTCAATCAGACGTTCATAATAAGATACTTTAAAAAAAAGATCCCTACACAACTAAGACCTTAAAAACGACGGGTACACAAAATTAAGGACCTACACAAATAACCCCTACAAACCGACCTCTGACTAACACAAACCCAACTCTACACAACGACCACGATACAACCTTGAAAAGCGACTCACCTAAAAGCAACCATCACCTCTATTCAGTCTATTCAGTTACTAGCCTTAMRGRRKTTTTTTTTGTGGAAATTAGCAATGACAATAGAACTGKTTTTTTTTTAAGTTATTTTTCTTGTTCATTCAGGGCACTTTCTTGGTAATCACAGTATCATCGATATAATGAAAAAACAAGGATATGATATCGAATACGTATCATCTACACAGACTTTACCAAGGTAAGACAAATACCATTCCGATGGTCAATGAGTACACGACGCAATTCGTGTTGTAAGTATGACGCCCACAACTTGTTTACAACTTGACTTAGGTAGTTGTAGTGAGTTGTAGACTCGATTTGCACGACACAATTCGTGTTGTANGGTTTGATAAGATTAGTGGCAGTAATAGTATATCGGTTTGTTTATGTTGTACACTGTGTTTTTTTCAGTTACAAGGCCAAGAAATCGCTGCTGACTAACAAACAGTTTCACCGAAAACATCGTGGCTGCCGAGGCAGGAGAATACGAAAACGATGTAAGAAATTACGTAAAAAAGTGAAACCTGACTATAGTAATGTGCGTTTGATACAGAAATCATCAAAAAGAGTTCCGTCATCGAAAAGGTATGTAGTCCTTAAAATCATTGTCGATAGATCAGCACTGTAGAATTAAACTTGTTCCAAAACAGCTTTGATACAGTAAAAGCCCTCTTATTAGAACCTAAAACTTAAGAACCCGTCAGGCTGAAATACCCTTCTCATAAGAACGATTTCAGGCATTAATTTTCAGAGCACTTGCTTAAAATAAATTTAACACCGTAAAAAAAGTATGTGAAATAACTTACTGACGTTTCGGACGTTAATCCTTCGTCGGAGTAAAAGTGACTTTTACTCCGACGAAGGATTAACGTCCGAAACGTCAGTAAGTTATTTCACATACTTTTTTTACGGTGTTAAATTTATCTTTTACACAACAAGTAATTTTTTAGTTATCCTTGATATTCTATTGTCATTCGCTGGTGGGACTTTTTTTGTCTGTTAATCCATCATATAAGTTCAAGGCGCCAGTTTGTCCTGTTAATTTTGTTCACTATTATTTTTGTCAATTATCAAACCGTCTTATGGACAGTCCCTGTTCATACTGATAGAGACATGATATAGACATTACTGAGAGCAAGAGTCTGAGAGGGACTCTCTTCGTTATCGTTTGTGGAAAGATTAAGCCTGTCTACATGGGTCTATTATAGGATGAGAAGGTTAAGAGGTGTCTAATAGATCCATAGCAATTACTGGTCCTGTTTTGTCATCAGCTTCACTTAAGTAAATCCAGGAAAAGTTCAATAAATCACAATAGTCATGTGTAGACCACTTGCAGTTCGTGGGAATGCATCTCCAATTTCAGTACAAAAAAATGGTTCTAGTTTCCAAGAGGGCAAAACTCTTTTGTTTTGTCCTCGCAGATGAAGCTGCTTTTTGTCTCATGAAAGGGGTTTATAGACAACAAAGCCCTGTCTCATACCACTAAATACCGGCATGATAAAAGACATGGATTTGTCGGAACACTACATTAAAACCCAGCGTAACCTATATTTAAGAAACTGTCAGGCTAAAATTTCCAAACATGTTGTATATTGTAAACAATAAAATATAGAACTTGGTATGTTTTAGCTTATCTTTTTTTTGTACTCTATTATATGCCGTGTTGCAAACAAGACAATGTGTTATTAATTATTTGATAAAAAAGGACACAACCCGTTCTTTAGCAAAATTATATGTAAGAACGCCGTTTGAACCTTGAGAGCCTGATTTCAAGCCAATCGCCATTTATTTAAGAACCTGTTAGAAATCTAGGTTCTTATATAAGCGGGTATTAACTGTATATAAAAAACCATTTGTTATAAGTATAACGTTATCAGCACCTCGAACAAATCCCGGGGACCAATGCATACTTTACATTCGCCCTTTGTAAGGTAATCCGGAACCCAAGAACAATAGAATTTTGTAATCTGGAATCCGGAAAGTCATGCAGAATCAGGATTCCTTTAAATGAGATAGTCCTTATTATGTACGGGCTTCCCTGGAGATGGGTTTCCTGTGGTAATTGGCTTCCTTTRGGATGTAAGTACATCCTCGTTCCCAGGTTTCTTTTTCCGAGCGATCAGGGAAGCCCTGGGAGCGATGATGTAATTGTTTTCTCTCTCCCCAGGCCAAGCACATCTGATGTACAAGGCTACGCATTAAATGGAAATAACTGGTCAAACAACGCTGCGTCACARCCGCTTGAATGGACTTCAAATATAGTATTYATCTTTATTGTGGCTTTGAACTTTTATATTTGCATCATAAGATAGACAGCTGTCAATCACTGGAGATGTTGTATATTTAAAAAATCAAAATATAGACGGTGATAGATGACATGGGTATAATGACGGACGATACATGGCCGCAAAGAGACACATGAATGAAATCAAAAACGAACCATTGTAATGTAAATACATGTCAGAATACTTTGGAAAAGTTGTCAAATCCTTTTACACTAAATTAGAAAGTGAAATTGATATTCATACGGAATGTGCAAGCTATTTGCAGGTTTTTTGTGCCTACAGACAGACAGACTAAAGGTAGTCTGCGAAGAAGACTAAAGCGACCGATGTGATGTTTCAATGAACAGTGTTGAAAAACTGCTGAATTGGGTTACAATGCTGATGATGAGTGTCATGGCATCCAGTGTACTTTTCTAAAAATGTTTTATTGCTGTACCAAAAGTATTCTATATTCGGGATGTCTCGTCGTATGGTAATCGTTACAGAGTCGATTTAGTCGAAACTATATCGTATCGGTATCGGAATCTTATCGCTTCATCCGTTTCCTGCTTATGCAAAATCGACTTATGCCAACGGAGTCATTCGCGTATCGTAACCACGTCGAAATCGTGATGTCTCCAGAGTCGGTTTTTGTATGAGTTGTAAACTTACCACGTCGTATGTCGTAAGGTAATCGTATCGGTATCGAAACCGTATCGGTATCGTAATGTATCTAGAGTCGAGCAAAACTGGTAAAACTTACTGCATATTTATCCTGATAYTCATTACAAAGTATTTGGAAACTTGCAATATTTTTGGCGTTTCTCAGTTTCATGAAAAGAGCTTTGTCTAGAGCTCCGAAACTTTGTTGTTTTACAGCCTTTTGCAAAAATTATGAGAATTGTCGAAATATCTAAATATCATAATATCAATTGCATGACGGGTAATCCCGCGCGATTCCCTTTGTCCTTTGTCTTTGTAGTTTAGTTTTTTTCGGCGGCGACCGACTTATCCGTAATTCTGAACATTTTCTCGATGTCAACAAAGAATTATTCTATCAAACCCGCGTGTTCCGGACAATATGTGGATATGGATATTATGATATTTAGATATTTAGACAATTCTCATAATTTTTGCAAAAGGCTGTATATGAAAAATAGAAATTATATACATATATAACCGAGTTAGAATCAACGGGTTTGCGATGTGTACAACCTTCTGTGAAAAAATAAATAACATTTACTTTTATTTGTTTATCGATTGTTTTCATTCATTAAGTACTTACGGTCAGCCGACTACTTACACCACCTCTAATCCAACCGACCGCCTAGTCAGCCGACCACGTACACCACCTCTAATCCAACCGACCACCTAGTCAGCCGACCACACAGCACTTACAGTCAGTCAACCAACTACGCCACCTCTAATCCAACCGACCACCTACAGCACTTACAGTCCGGCGACCACCTACACCACCTCTGATCCGACCGACCACATACACTACATGCAATCCAACCGACCACACTACATGCCATACGCCGACAGTACCTAAAGTATTTGCAGTCAGTCAAACATCTACATAAGCTGTAACTGATCCAACTAACCATATATCATGATATGCACGAATTTCCAAGAGTGTGAATCAAGGTTATGGGTCGGTTCACTCTACGAGAAGAATTAGCAGAACGGAATGGGATCCTTGTACCACAGGCAACCCAAACTAAGCATTTGACTATTAGCGATATCTATAATTATCTATGAAATAGATATATTTCTCCATTACGTAAAATTGATATTTTCAATAGTGAAAATAACACATTCGAGGTTTTTTATAGGGGGTCCGGAGGCATGGGAAGTTGACTCTTTAACGTTTCCAACCTGATGTCGTCACAGTAAAGTCGAGCTCTGATCATCGATTTTTTGTATTTTTTATTTTAATCTTATCGATTTCACTTATTATTAAGCGGCCCCCCAGCCCCCCCGTCTCCGCGGCCCCTGTAAGAAAGTGAACTTTTACTCTTCCCTATCTTTCTTTTGTTGACAAATAGTATAGCACACTACTACCTGTTTATTATCCATAAAATTTACCATAAGCTATTCAAGAAACGGATGAAATTTTGATCTTACCTGGCGAGAATCATGGTCATATGACTATATCGACTTGAACTGCAGATGTCACGTGTTCTGAAGCCCTAGGTACTGACCATTGTATTTCGTAGTTAAGAGATAGTGCTGATTCAACAAGTTTGAGATAATAAACTTATTGRGTAAGTCTACAAATAGCTAAAACCACTGACGGAGAGAGCGAAGAATGCAAGGCTATATGCATGGGCCTCCTGTGTTTAAGAACCATTCCTCCTCGGGCAATATGGCGGCCAGCATGTTCGAACTCCGTATTTTGTTTTCAAACTGATGTATCGTAATTCAATTTTTTGTAAGTTATTTCAAGATGAATCAGGAGTAGATATTAATATCAGGTAATATTTTACGTTTGGTTGAAACTTTGCTGACTTCACAAACTACTGATTGAACCACGAGGCAGCGCAACCTGATCGTGGCGTTCAGAATGGTCCGTCATGGCGGCTTTTTTGAAAACGAATCGAGTTTCTGCAAGTTGTAAGCGTCATACATGCAAAAAACTCCATTGATATCAGCACCCATCCTAACGTCAGTCTATTAATGCCCCACTATAGACTGACGTTAAAATATCATTGCTACTGTTGTTTTCCCTACTCTGAGTAGCACTTCCCCGGGAGGGACTCCCTTATAAAGGTTGGTAGGTATGCTCGACGGACGGATTGAAAAATAAMCCTAAAAGGTACGCATAAATTAATTCAGGCATCGATTCCAGACCCTAAAGAAGGTACAAGCATTTTTGACGTCATTAACAAGAAAAAAACTCAAGTTTAACAAACTGTAGAAAATCAATGTCGATAGATTGTTGAGGTTAAAAAAAGCTATTTCTATACAAAAGTATCACTTCTTCAATTCCCCCCCCCCCCCCCCCTTCTACCCCCCGTTGTTCAAAAATTGAACCTAAAAGACAGAGTTAGCTCAGGACCCTAAAAGGTAYGCGAGGTTGTATTTTCGACCCTAAAAGGTCAGTCGAGCATATATTTTTATAAGGGAGTCCCCTCCCCGGGTGTATTTCACCCTACCATCCTCACTTGATAACCCTCCTCAAAATTTGTTTGTTTTTTTTTTGCTCTAAGAATGCAGAAAACACAAATAAAAGCAAGAGAAACACTCGCTATGCTTGTGTTTCTAAGCTTGCTTCTCTCGTTTTTAAACTCCCACCGTGTTTATATCAGAGGACAGAGACATGAGTCGCCATTTCATTTTTCTTAAATCAAGCACATGCATTAAAATGGCTGCTRTATTTCTAAATTAGTTCATTAATACATTTGTATTAGTGGCAATTGATGATTCTTGATTGTCATATTAAAATCATGTCTTTTAGTTGTTGACTGAAGTAGCAATGCAAGTCTCTCATAAAAGGGTATGTGTTTAAATACATTAAAATGAKATGGATTTGATAACATTGCACATTTTGTAACCAATCACTGTTATTAATGMATTCAATTATTTTTAAGCCAGTCAGAGAAATGATAATATGTATTGTGATATCAGGTCCAATCCACCAATGACAGCTCTATACTAAGCAAGTATTCAATGGTCAAGACTGGCTACTTTAAAGATGAATTCTTGAAGTACTTTGTWACTAAAGATGCACGCCGRTCTCCACTCATACACAGGTATCKRGATTACAATAATYCATGGTTTTCTCTTATGTYTTTGGCTGATCTTTTATGTTTGTTTGGAGGAATGGGGCTTTTTTGATAGGGAGTTGGTCATTCAAATGACTTTCAGAATAAAAGTGTCATGTACAGTAGCTCAGTGCCTCATGTGCTCTGTGTTTATATTAATGTGATTAGAAATATGTCATGCAACCTCTCCTGAGAGGTTTGGATAAACATTCTCAGCTTTTTGTTTCTAGTTCGTATTACTAACACCATTCATTGTCTGTCRAGGGGTTATCACATCAGAATGAGATGCATTGACACTATGCTTCGTGCATTTTTGACTGAAGAAACTTTCCCAAGAAAACAGGTAAGAACAACATAACTAAACATGATGACACTATGATGTTGTTGTTGTTGTTTTTTTTGTTATCTGTACAATGTAGTCTTTCAACTGGAGTTATTTGTGTTATAGGTGTTATCACTTGGTGCAGGATTTGATACCTCATTCTTTAGGTTTCAAGCAGAGGGATTGCTTGACAACAGTTGCAAATTCTTTGAGGTAAAAAAGAGAAAGTTACTATAGTGTCCTAATTCAGTGATTTTGCTGAGTTTTGTACATTCATCAATATTCATCATTGTTGKCAATGTGGCATAGCATCCATTGCTTTATTGATTAAAAGTGGTTTTAAAAGTTTATTATTATAATAATAGGCGACTCGTATTATGGTATCATAAACTACAACTACCAGCATGCTTTTCCCACTTTCTCTTGTAATGCAATTAGCTAGTGCCAATAGTCTCCTTCACGGATACCTGCACCATCTTGAAAGGTAGCCGTGCCTTTGCACTGAAGCGAGACGACCGTTGAGCGTGCAATGATAGATACCTGTGRATAAYTGTCTATAGGTGTGAAAGAAGGTTTCTCTCATTGCACGCTCAAYRGTTGTCTCGCTTCGATGACAAGGCACGGCTACCTTTCAAGATGGCGCAGRKAACCGTGAAGGAGACTATTGTTCTACTAATTTCCAAAGGATTAAAAATCTAAATGAAAATGCGCAAGGCTTTCTGGTAGTTGTAGTAAAGTTACCATCGTGCTAATGGACAATTGAGGATCAATTAGTAATTTTACTTTGTAGACTGATGATTTGTAATTGTTAATGATGTGAGACTTCATGATTATAGTCTTTCAATTRAATATTATTGTTGGTCTGTCACAATAAGACCAATTATAGTGGGTATGAGTAAATCTCAGAGACAATGCAATCTAAACGCTCACATTATTTTGTTGTCAAAGTAAGCACAAGAATAAGAAGAGTCACTATAATTAATAATATTTATTTATTTTGTCAATGTTCTAGCATTGAAAGATTTCATCCATATYCATTCTTGGTGTTTATAATCATGTACAAATATAACAGATCATGACCCAGATCATTCTCAGTTTCCCGACAGAAAATCAAAGAGTCTGGTTGGAGACAAATTAGTCTTCATTTTGATTGGTTCAAAAATTCACTTGTATTATCAGTATGCATATATCATRATACCCAGATTCTAGGTCTTCTGGAAACTGAGAAGTGTCTTGAGTAAGAGAATAGAATATAACAATTTAAGCAGTGCAACAATGATTTTCCAAGTACTGCATTCTCAAGTATTTTATACATTCACCATGCAAACTTAGATCGATATAAAATTTATTGGTGGTTTTTGCATCTATGTGTTGTTTAAGGTGGATTACCCTGAAGTTGTTAAAATTAAGAAACAATTTATTGATCAAGAACCAACTCTGTACAAGGCCATCAGAAACAGTTGTAACAAAGATGACTTGAAAGCCGAAGGTAAGCACGCTGCAGCGGTTTGCCAATGAACAGTTAGCTATCAGATGTTATTCTTTATTCAAGATGGATCTTCCCATATTTATCATATTTATCTATGAAATACCTATATTTTTCCCTTTTGAAAACACATTCGAGGTTTCTCTATACATTGAAAGCAAAAAAGGTACTTTATGACATAATTTGCTTTCATTTTAATTATTATATGATAAACAGAATATTACATGGTCATTTCGAGATAGGAATTCTTCTCATGTTGAAAATCTCTCACTTGTTAGAGATCTTTTCAACACTCAAAGATAAAATCCATATCAGTGCGCATCCATGTAATATCCTCTATTTATCTACTGGAAATTCGTTCTTGATATTGGGTGATCACGTTAATGACATGTTTTTATCAATTTATATGGGATGTAAATTTTATTCTATATTCTTTTGTTTGGTTTTTCATTTTGTCATTGTTTGYAACAGGTCTCAATTCAGACAACTATGCTCTTGTGGGATGTAGTTTAGAAGACCTTCAAAAACTTGAACAAATTTTACTAAAATATGACCTGGATGTKACTTGCCCAACCCTTATATTATCAGAGGTTGTTATGTGTTACTTAAACCCTTCAAGGTAAAATATACTGATTTATCAAATTCATTAATAATTTATAAGATAAACAAGATAAACATAATGCAAAATCATTGCCGTGAACAGATCTTTATATGAGCAAGAGATTTGTCCTGATTTGCATACAACTTCAAATAAGCAATATAAATTATGTGTCCTACCATAATAGGCTTTAAAACTGCTCTCCTTTATCTCTCCTTTATCTCTCCTATGCTCATGATTTTATGTATTAAATATTACTAAATGTCAGACTGTAAAAAATGCAATTAAACTTTCTTTTTTGTAAATCATGAATTCTATTTATCAAGAAATTATTATGTGTTTTTTTCAGTTCTACGTCCGTCATCAAGTGGTGTGCCTCTCTGTTTCACTCAGCTGTCTTTGTTACCTATGAACAAGTATGCCATAACAAATCTGGAATCARTTGTTTGAGTCATTTTCTGTTTTACATGCTGGATTTTATTTGCTTGATGAGGATTATTATTTACATAGTGCTATTCATCCTTTGTAAAGTGGCCTTTTATATTACATTGGGTAAAAAGATAAATTAAACACCATAAAAAAGTAGGAGAAGTAACTTACTGACGTTTCGGACGTTAATCCTTCGTCGGAGTAAAATTTAAGTTTAATTTATCTTTTTACACAACTGTTTCTTTAGAAACACCGACGCAGCTCACACTAGTTCACCGCTAGTTCCCACCTTTTGTATTACAGTATTTTTTTTACTATTCACATAAGGGACCATTCATTTTTTATCTCCTTTATTAGTAAGAATAGTTTGATATAAAAGTCTTGATGCATCACTGTATCATGTCTGGTGTTGTATTCATCAGGGTTTGTGCTATACCTTGAACTCCTTGAGTAGCCCATTGGAATAGAAAGTATTTGAAAGACTTAATGATAAAAAAAACACAAAAAAACCCTTCTGAAATTCTTCTTGGATGTTATTTTTAAAACGTTTGATTGAAATGTTTTTACACTTTCTTTCTTCAAGGTTTTCCCCAATGATCCCTTTGGTATGATAATGTAAGTAACCATGGTTACCATTGTCCAATCAAAGTATGTTGRGTAGTAATTATATTTTTTTTTTTAGGTTGAATCATTTCAAGCAAGTTGGGTCTCCACTGCGTACTATTAATAGTTTCCCAAGTCCTGAATCTCAAGTGAACCGATATACAAACCAGGTATGGAATTGACTATGTGTGATCTTGTTTTGAGGGTTTTTTTCAGTGTGTTTAAGCAGTTTGGGTTGATTAATAAATTAATTAATGGATTAATAAATAATAGATTAATTAACAAAATAAATGAATAAATATTAGAATACTAAGATGAATAAATAAGTGGGTAGATGGATGATGGGAAAAGAAAAAAATTGTAAGGAAAAATGGAAGAATGAATGGTTTAGTGTCTACGAACAGGGCATGAACCGACCCATCAATGTACACTGATAATTAAAGAAAATTATATCTGTCAGCTCAGTGTTCCTTGACTACGGCTCAATTCAATGCTTTGTTCATGGTCACTGAACCTGCCSGACGTATGGAAAGTGGTGACTTGCATTACTGTATGAGTGCATGTCTCAATCCACAACATTTTGAAATTGACTGTGTATATTATTGGCAAGGCTTACATCATCAGTTTGGGCTAATCCCCAGACTTCTTTCCTAAATGTTCACCAGGCTTTACCCATAGATGCCTAGGACAAGATTGTTAACAGTAACAGCATGATTCTGAGGGATATTAAATGTCCCCAAAGCTAAGGGACATTTAGATACATTGAAAGAAATGTCAATAAATACCTTATAACATTTTCTTGGTTTTGTTGTGTTTTCACAGGGCTGGACCCTGGTTAGATATCAAAACATGCATTCTTTCCAGTTATCACTAGATGTTGAAGAACAAAAGCTAATACAAGGATTAGAAATATTTGACGAATTTGAGGTAAGATACATTGATAACAGGTATAAAGGTATATTATAATCACTTTCAATTGTCATTCTCATTAATAATTCATGAGCTATTAGTCCAATGAGCACTGAACTATTTGGATTATTTATTGAAACTGATTTAAAACAGTCTGAGACCCTTGCTAGGGTTGGGTTGTGATAAAGGGCTGATGAACTTGAACATCATTTCTTTATATCTGATATAGAACTGATCAATAAAACATCAGTGCTTTATCAGAATTAGTTTAAATCCCTCGAATCTATATGTATAGTTTAAAACACGAGAGAGAGTGTTTTATCAGGTATAAAGATTCGAGCCGAAGGCGAGAATCTTTATACCTGATAAAACACGATCTCGAGTGTTTTAAACGGCTTAAAAAACTCCAACACTAATTTGAAACTCAAATCCGTTAAAATTCTTGGAGAAATTGMCGTTCAAATATGTTCAGAGATAAATGGGGCAAACTGATCATGCGCGAATCACTTTACAAAGCACTCTTGTCATCCCACATTGAATTAGTCTCTTTCAACGGCCGCGACTTCCGGTCTCGTCAAATGGGAGGAAATTTGACGAGACCGGAAGTCGCGGCTGTTGAAAGAGACTAGCATTGAATACGCATAAAGTAAAATAGAACCGCTCTTGGCTGTTCACTGAAATCGGTTGACATCCTGCATTGGTCAATGATCAGGYTTCAAGCCTGAGACCTTTGCTAGGGTCATGGACCTTTATATCTGATAAAGGTCACCCTTATTWGTATTCTTTATATAAAGAATACTAATAAGGAGTGTTTTATCAGATATAAAGGTCCATGCATGTGACCAAATAGGCTCATTCTATTGGCCTAGTAGCTCATTAATTATGTATGAGTTTTTTAAATGTCCTGATAAAACACGCACTCTTATAAACAACACTTTATAACCATGGTAATATATTGTATACTAAATTAATTCTTTTTGATTGTATGATTAAAAATATATTGTTGCAATAAGTTTGGTTGCATGTTATTTACAATTCTCTCTATTTTTTTAAGGAATGGGATTTGAAATGCCTCCATTACATGGTCTTGTGTGCATTTAAGGGGTTGTGTTTGAGTCTGTCAGAAAGAATGTCTCCTCATGGAAACACTGGTAGATATCACCATTTATTTATTTATTTATTTATTTATTTCGGTCTGGTATCCTAGTCATTCGCGCGCTGTGATTGGCTAGCGCGTGGTCCGGTATCCTAGTCATTCGCGCGCTGTGATTGGCTAGCGCGTGGTCCGGTATCCTAGTCATTCGCGCGCTGTGATTGGCTAGCGCG